ATTGGCTAGCACATGAAAGTCACGCACTCCTGTGGACTGAATTTGAAATCTTTAAGTTGTACATGGACTGGGAACATACCCTTAACATTTCAGCCTCCCAGCTTCTGGTTCCCGAGTTGGAGATTTTCTCGCCGAAACTTTCAGGTGCTCATATGCAGAGTCCAGGCATGCGCGAAAGTTGGTACTACGGTTTCGGGTGGCACTTGGTCGGAGAACTCATTTGCAAAGACTTGGCGCCGGAGTTTACTTGGTTGCCGGGTTAAAATATTTAGACAGACATAAACGCACACATACACAAACATACATACACACACGCACCATGAGTAGCCACAACAAGCTTTTTTGCATTTGCACATATGCAAAAACGTATAATGAGGCTCACCAGAGAAAATGATTTTTGATTTTCCATTATTTTTTCTTCCCGCCATACGGATTTATAAACTTCGCAAAATTAATTATGAGGAGCCTTTTTTTTATAATTTTTCTTTCCTTGCTTAATTTCGCAATGGTTCGTGTGGAACACACAACTCTATCTGTCTCCAGATGAGCTTGAACTCTACGTTATCGACGTTGAGCGGTCAGTCATCATCGGATCGTCGTCGTCAGCAACACCAGCGAGCGCCATCATCATCCACTTTTTCATCTTCGCTATCCCAGAGCAAGCTGTCAGCGACCCCACTACCGAAGGGATACAATGACGACGAGCCCGATAGTGGTACCGGAGATTCCGATAGCGATATTTTGGCGCTACGTAGTAAGCTGTGTGCATAACTTTACCAGCGCGCGTGTAGTGTTTCACATGTGTGCCAAAAATTATCTGGGCGTTTCTGGGAATACGGTTTTGCTGTACAGATCAGTGGATAAATTTTGCAAAATTTTTTCTGAGCAGGATTCTGAAACCGGTTTGCTTATCAAAAAAAGCGTTCTGATTTTCCTCCAAGTTTACCTTTAAACCCAACAAGCACTTCAACACTCAGGCGCGTTCCTCCTGTTTTGCTTTAACGTTGGAACTAGTGGTTCG